ATCAAAAGCTTCTGCACAGCAAAGGAAACAGTCAGCAAAACAAAGAGGCAACCCACGGAATGGGAGAAGATGTTTGCAAATGACAGTACAGACAAAAGGTTGATATCCAGGATCTATAAAGAACTCCTCAAACCCAACACACACAAAACAGATAATCATATAACAAAATGGGCAGAAGATATGAGTAGACACTTCTTCAATGAAGACATATAAATGGCTATCAGAAACATGAAAAATGTTCATCATCACTAGCCATCAGGGAGATTCAAATTAAAACCACATTGAGATACCACCGTACACCAGTTAGAATGGCCAAAATTAGCAAGACAGGAAACAACTTGTGTTGGAGGGGATGTGGAGAAAGGAGAACCCTCTTACACTGTTGGTGGCAATGCAAGTTGGTGCAGCCACTTTGGAGAACAGTGTGGAGATTCCTCAAGAAATTAAAAAGAGAGCTTCCCTATGACCCTGCAATTGCACTTCTGGGTATTTACCCCAAAGATACAGATGGAGTGAAAAAAAGGGCCATCCATACCCCAATGTTATAACAGCAATGGCCACGGTTGCCAAACTGTGGAAAGAACCAAGATGCCCTTCAAGGGACAAATGGATAAGGAAGATGTGGTCCATATACACTATGGAGTATTATGCCTCCATCAGAATGGATGTATACCCAACTTTTGTAGCAACATGGACGGGACTGAAAGAGATCATGCTGAGTGAAATAAGTCAAGCAGAGAGAGTCAATTGACATATGGTTTCACTTATTTGTGGAGCATAACAAATAGCATGGAGGACAAGGGGAGTTAGAGAGGAGAAGGGAGTTGAGGGAAATTGTTAGGGGAGGTGAACCATGAGAGACTATGGACTCTGAAAAACAATTTGAGAGTTTTGAAGGGGCGGGGGGTGGGAGATTGGCGGAAGCAGGTGGTGGGTATTAGAGAGGGCATGGATTGCATGGAGCACTGGGTGTGGTGCAGAAACAATGAATACTGTTATGCTGAAAATAAAAAAACGAACAAACAAACAAAAGAAACAAAAAAAAGTATATGACAAGAGAAAAAAATATATATATAAAAGCAAAACAAACAAACAAACAAACAAACAAAAAAGAACCTCCTCCAAAAGAACCCCAAGTACAAGATTTATATACTACTAGGACAAACACAGATACACAGAAACACTGGCAAAGAAAAAAATGGGAGAGTGGTTATAAATTCTCAGTGTGGGCGGGGAAGTTTATTTTGATTCTTCCTGGATGTATTTTGATATCTTTGTTAAAGGACTCAACTTTCCTATGATAAAGAGGGATTAAAAATTGGTTTACCTATAGGGGTAGCATTGATTTGGGAAAGGGGACTACATAGAAGTTTAACTCTATATGAGTATTCAAAAAATAAAAATAAAAAAAGGATGCAGTAAACTAAAATAAAATTTAAAAAATTAAAAAAATAGAAAAGCAAAAGAAAAACATGGGTATATGTATCAAAAAGTTCAGATTAAAAGTTTATTATGGAATTTAATGTCCTGGACATCTCACTGTGATGCTAAATAGGCTAAGAAATTATATATATAAAAAATAAAAATAAATAATGAATCAGAATAGTGGGTGAATTAAATATTAAAGTTGTATCTATGAAGTATTGGCGGTTGTTCTCTTGTCATCTCCCCCCCCCCACCGCCGTTGGCTTTCTGGGGGAGGGGCCTGCTGCATGGTTTTCAGGCAGTGTTTCCTGAGTTAAGTCCTCCTGCCACCACAAGGAGGTGGGCTGTGAGGAAACTGGTTTTTCAGGCTTTTGTTCTCTGGAGGTGTTTGTGTTTGTTTGTTTGTTTGTTTTCTCTCCCCTTGGCAGCTCTTGGTGGTTTTTGGAGGTTTAGAGGAAAGGAAACTGCACCCAGGCCTCCCTCTCAGAGAGAAGCCTCCATCTGTTCCCCTCTTGGTGCTGAAGAGCACATAAGTTCCCCCTTGGCCACTGGCAGAGCACATTCCCAGTCGCGGTCCCAAGGGATACAGGAACTTCTGCTTGTACCCAAAACCACAACAGTGGCGGCTGTCTGGACAGCTCCAGACCTCCAGAGAGGTTCCAAACAGTGATCGCACACTGAGATTTTCCTGCTGGCCCGGGCTGGGAGTACTCAGGCTTTCCAGGACCGAGAGCTCCCGGCTGGCGCTTGCGGGCACCTCTCTCAGGGGAGGGTGTCGGGCATGATTCAGGCTCTGATAGCACGGCATGGTGCATGCGTGAGTACTGCAGAAAGGCTGTGTGTCTGCCGGCTGGCGAGACTCCCAGCCCCTCACGGGAGCCACACCCCACGTGCCCTCAGGCACGCTTACTCGCGGCTCAGGGACCAAGACCTGGTTTCTCTGCTGCACTCTCTCTGGCTCAGCACCAGGTGTGGCTGTCCTTGGTCTGGGGACTTAAGCCCCTGTCCTTAACAGCCCTGATTCCCACAACTTCGCCCCATGATCTTTTGCTCTTTTTGAATGCTTTCAACCAGACTCCAAATTAATGCTGGTCCCCAGTTGCAAGGCACTCTCGTATTGGGGTATTGCTCTCCAATGGGTCGCTTCTGGTGGCTCCCTCCCCCTTTTGTTTATCTTCTTATATCAGTCTGACGTTCCCACTCTGATTTACCTGCCCACTGGCGTCTTCTGCCCCTGTAGAGATCCAGACGTGTATAATTTTAATCTCAGGCTGATTTCATGGGTGATTGGCATTCTTTGGTAGGTAATCAGCTCACTTTAGGGTACAGGTTGTAAAGGCGCCTTCTCCTAGTTCTCTGCCTTATTTATTATGTTTAATTAAATTAAATTAAATATAATATAATATTAAATTAAATTAAGTATAATAAATATTTATAAAAAATAAATAGAATTTAAAAATTCTATTAAATTCTATTGCATGACTCGGGGTCAGATCTGGAGCACAGTTAGCTGAGTCACACATAAAGTGGTGGGAGAGCTCTCTTCCAATTGTGAAAAAGCAAATGTTCACATGTGGATATTAAAATAATGGAATTAAATTAAGACAATTCATATTTGATAAGATCATTTTTTGTATATTAGAAGCTTAGCCTACATATATCAAAGGAGTAAAATGACATAAATTCGTTCAAGACAAAAGAACACTACAGCCATATACCTCACAAATGAGCCTCAGAAACACAATGTAGAGATTTTCTCATGACTGAGGACTCACAAGCAGCTCTGCTGAAATCAGAGCAACTATCTATAATACAATCCCTTCAATAATAAAGACATTATACGAATCCATTTTATTTTAGGATGCTTTCTGTGCAGCAATAGCTAACTGGTACAGTAATCAAATCAGGCAGAAAAGACAGCATTTGTTATAATCGGGACTTGTATTCTAGGCATTCATTCTGATAATTGAAGGTAGCCTCCATGACTACTCTTTTTGTGAAGTTCATTTCATGTGACTGTATAAAAAATGACTCCATTGGATGTGTCTGGGTGGCTCAAAGAGTTAAGCACCTGCCTTTGGCTAAAGCCATGATCTCCAGATCCTGAGATCAAGTCCCACATTGGGCTCCCCACTCAGTGGGAAGTCTGCTTATCCCTCTCCCTCTGCCTTTCCCCCTTCTTGTGCTCTATCTCTCTCAAATGAATAAATAAAATCTTTAAAAAATGACTCCATTGAGACCCTTTTGCAGTAATATGGAAGGGTGGGAAGGACATGTATGTGGGTCCATAACCTGTGACTCTGAATAACATAGCTGGACAGGATACCAAGCTTGCTGGTGAGTCATCCTGTGATTATAAAGATCATACTTAGTGGATGATACTGATATAGTTCATTCACTACCCCTTTAATGGTTATGGCAAAATTTCAAAGAGTGGGAGATATTTCATTTTGAGAAATGGAAGGAATCATATTTGTATGTAGCACTGGAAATTTTCAATCAGAAATGAGAATAATTTAATTAAACTACAAACATGACTTCAGTCTTTCATCTTAGTGAAAAGATACCTTACAAATGGAACCTGATATTCCATAATTCAGTGAGTAGGTGGAATGCCTGAGAAAGAAATATTTTGCATAGAAACATATATATGATGTAATATCTTGCTTCATCATCCTTAAAAATCAAGTGAGATTCTAAGACTGTATTATGTCAATCAGTATTTTCCATATTTGTCTTTCTGTGTAGATTCCAATTGGAGACGTGTATGCTATTGTTATTTCTTCAACCAGAGACTATGGTAAGCATGGTGGATAGAAGCTGTGTAACAACAGGAATCCTAATATATAGAAAAATCTCCATGATCAGCTACAACCACCAGTATGTCAAAGTCTGCATTCTCAGGAAGAGCAGTTAAGGTAGAGATATAAAAAGGAATGATGTTCAGAAAAGTGAAGCATAGTAGTTTCAGATTTTTCTCTGTTATAAACTTACATAAATAGCTGTGGTGGCCAAGAGTAGATTTCCCGTAGGAGTAGTACGTTAAACAAAATAAATAATACTCACTATGATGTATTTTATTTAAGAAGAAATTACCTTAACACATCCATGTAGTCCTTTGAATAAGTGAGAATTTCCAAATATTTCAAATCTAAAGTTAGGATTACTATTGAAAGTAAGAAACTGACAAAGGAAAATCTCTTGGATATCAGAGATACCACAAAACTTAATAAAGTAATTTACATAAATTATAGAGGGGGCAAAATTAAAAAAAAGGAAATTTCCAGAAAAAAATAGAGAAGGCAAGTTCCACTTCCTGAATCTGATTTTTTTTAAAGATTTTATTTATTTATTTGTCAGAGAGAGAGAGGGAGAGAGAGCGAGCACAGGCAGACAGAATGGCAGGCAGAGGCAGAGGGAGAAGCAGGCTCCCTGACGAGCAAGGAGCCCGATGTGGGACTCGATCCCAGGACGCTGGGATCATGACCTGAGCCGAAGGCAGCTGCTTAACCAACGGAGCCACCCAGGCGTCCCCTGAATCTGATTTTTAAAAAAATGTCAACACTTGGCTCAGACTATGTGCTTGGTGATTCTGCACAATTTTTCATACCCAGGACAATTGGTCCTTTTAGACCTGCCCTTCCAGAGAATTGCATCAAAGCCTCCTTTATGTCTTTGTTCCTGAGGCTGTAGATGAAGGGGTTCAGCATGGGCATGGCCACAGTGTACATGACTGAAGCTACTACACTTGAGTGGGATCCCTGGTTAGCAGCAGAGCTAAGGTATACTCCTAGACTTGTACAATAAAATAAAGAGACAACTGAGAGGTGAGATGCACAGGTGGAAAATGCTTTATACTTGCCCTGAGCTGATGAGATCCCATATATGGAGGAAATTATCTTACAGTAAGAGTAAATGATCCCTGCAAAGGGAACAACAGCCAGCAACATAACTGCAAAATACATCACCATGTTATTGAGAAAGGTGTCAGAACAAGCAAGTTGTATCATCTGTTTGAGTTCACAGAAAAAGTGGGGGATTTTTAAGACTCTACAGAAGGACAGCTGCAACACCATTGAGGTTTGTAATGTGGAATGCAAGACACTCAGGAACCAGGACACCAGAACCAGCAGTCCACAGAGCCAGGAGTTCATGATGATCATGTAGTTTAGTGGATGACAGATGGCCACAAAGCGGTCATAAGCCATCACAGTCAAGAGAAAGTTGTCTAATCCTACAAAGAGAGTGAAAAAGTACATCTGGCTGAGGCAGCCTTCATAAGTGATCACTTTGCTCTGAGTCTGGATGTTCCACAGCATCTTGGGGATGGTGGTGGAGGTGAAACAGATGTCAGAGAAGGACAGGTTGGAGAGGAAGAAGTACATGGGTGTGTGGAGGTGGGAGTCAGAGTTGACAGTCAGAATGATGAGCAGGTTTCCAAACACAGTGATCAGGTACATAAAGAGGAAAAGCCCCAAATGAGGGGCTGCAGTTCTGGTTCCTCGGATAATCCCAAAAGAAGAAACTCTGAAATTCCTGTGTAGTTTCCTGGATCCATGTGGTGGAGGTGACTACCAGCACAGGGGAAAATAAAAGGACAAATTTTCACACAAATGCACTTTGCTCAGATTCTGGAAATGCTACAGAGTATATTTTCCAGTCAAGAAGCTAATTTCAATATTTTTTAATGGATCTGGGCCCTTTGAGGGGATCCCCATGTCCTGTATGATTAGCAATTTCCATCCCAACAACATATATATCCCCCAAAGATCAGTTATTGTACAGTTTAAATAAGAAGTTATTTTATGCATTCTGGAATTTGTGGAGTGTTCACCTGTTTTGGAAATTCTTAGTGATAAAGTAGAGGGTGCTGAAGAGCAAAAGTTCCTACAATTCAATGATGGTAATAGGATAGAAGCAGGTTTAAAGATTAAATAATCCCAAGATTGGAACAGGTGCTATGAAGAAACAGAAACAGCTTAAAAGAGAGAGTGGGTGGGGTGTTAGGTTGTGTGTTCAGTCAAGATTGGATAAGAAGGTATCATTTGAACAAAGACCTCAAGGAAGAGAGGGTGAAAGACATGAAGTGTTCCTGGCAGAGCAAACGGCTGGTGCAAAGCCCGTGATGATGTCCTCCTGTCAGAAAATCAAGGCTCAGAAGAAAGTCAGTGCATTGAGGGGAATGGACAAGAAGGAGAGTGATGAGAAGTGGTGGAAGTGAATTTCTTAAAACCATGTGGCTTCACAGCTGCTTAAATTTCAAGACACAGGGAGTTCTTTGTCTGCACTATGTACCTCTTGCATTTTATGAATCTCATTGTAATAGGGTCCAGTCAATTGAACATTCCTTCTTAGTATCATCTGTTAGTTGAATTTGGGCTGTGTATTATAATAAGGGTCACCTTGAACTGAATCTTGGAACATTGGGAAAAAAAGAAATAGAGGGGCCTGTGTATCCCTGCTCTGAGGACTGCTCTCACCCATCAAGGTGCGTGCTCACACAGGCACACACACACACACACACACACACACACACACACACAGTCATATACACAAAACAGAACATACCATGTCCTCTTGGTGTGTGTTACTCTATGCCCTTCTTACCTACCCCCAGCCTGTTCAATGCACTATCTAGGACATGAATGCATACACATCAAATTACATTTCCTATAAGAAATGTAAAAATAGTACCCAGAAATCCCTATTGGTAGCTTCCCAAAGATAAATCTTGGGGTTCCACTTTGGAATGGCCATTTTCTAACCTGTGTGTAAGGAAACATTAACAGTTGTGTTCAATAAGAGAAGAGATAGATGATAGATGATAGATAGATAGATAGATAGATAGATAGATAGATAGATAGATAGATAGAAGGAGAGAGAGGGAGATGGAGAAATGAGATGTACATAAAGAATAAAATGATCTAATAAACTCAGTTGTCCTGAGAGACTGAGGAATGAGAGCTTCCTTGGTGCTGGTGGCATGCAATCCTGGTTTTATCCCATTTGTACCCAGAAAAATTAATAAAAGAGCAAAAATAAATTGTCCAAAAGACAAAAGTAGTGACATCTTTATGATGTAAAACACCTTACAGATTGAACATCACAAGAAAAAAAGAGTAAAGAGAATAACCAACACTTCACAAAAATTGGCATTTTTATTATCAGAAAGCAGACAGCAGAAGACTTGTTTTCCTGTGCCTATTCCATGATTATTTGATGAGTTGGTTTTTGTTTGGTTCAATAGAGGATGAGGAAAGCCTCTTTATTACTTTTCTTAAATGACACCATTTGTTGTTGTTGTTTATTTGTCATTATTAGCCTTTGGGTTTTAGTCATTTTCTTGATAATTCCAATGAGCACAACTACTCATGGTTCTGTTCCTTGTCCACCACGCAAAGGCCTCCCCAGACTCTGTGAAATCCTACATACCCCTTGACAATCTATTCTCTTATTGTGAATACTCTTCATGTGACTTACTGAAGGACATTATCTTGGACTCACATCTCACTGTGCTTTTGTCTGTTCTGATGTAAGGATCAAAGCAACAGGGACTTCATCTGTACTATTCATCTTTTTCTTTATGGGTGTGAATGTATATGCACTTATATAGAAACAAATTCAAGAAAATCAAACATTATGAAATGCAAAGAATGTCAGAGGAGATAAAACCAGGTTAAAGAGCAGTTTCAATAACATTGAAGGGAGTTTAGAGAAATAACTGAAACAGTATCTACAGAAGCAGTAATTCCACAAAATCAACATGGACAAATAATAAAATTCCCCAATATCTTGTAATGAAAGGGTCTAATAAATAAAGTTCTATGGAAAGATCCAAGATGACCTTCAGCAGATGAATGGATAAAGAATATATAGTCCATATATACAATGGAATATTATGCCTCTATCAGAAAGGATGAATACTCAACTTTTATATCAACATGGATGGGATTGGAGGAGATTATGCTGAATGAAATAAATCAAACAGAGAGAGTCAATTATCATGTGGTTTCACTTACTTGTAGACCATAAGGAATAACATGGAGGACATTAGGAGAAGGAGAGGAAAAGTGAATTGTGGGAAATTGGAGGGGGAGATGAAGCATGAGAGACTGTGGACTCCGAGAAACAAACTGAGGGTATTGGAAAGGAGGGGGTGAGGAGATGGGTGAGCCTGGTGGTGGGTATTAAGGAGGGCACGTATTGCATGGAGCAGTGGGCATGGTGCACAAACAATGAATCTTGAAACACTGAAAAAAATAAAATAAAATATATAAAAAAAGAAATTTCTGGCACAAAGAAGATGCTCCTTTAGTATGCCACATTATGGAATTAGGTCTTATTATATGTGGATATTTACTTTTATTTAATTATTTTTTTACTCTTTAAAAATATTTTCTTTTTTAATTTAAATTCAATTAGTCAACATATGCATATCATACTTTTTGATATAATATTCAATGATTCATTAGGTGCATATAACACCCAGTGCTCATCACATCATGTACCTTTCTTAATGCCCATCACCTGGTTACCCGATCTCCCTACCCACTTCCCCTTCTTCAATCCTCAGTTTGTTTCCTGGAGTCAAATCTCATATGGTTTGTCTCCTTCTCTGATTTCTTTCCCTTTAGTTTTCCTCCCTTCACCTGCTGTCCTCTGTAGTATTCCCTATGTCCCACACATGAGTGAAAACATATGATAATGGTCTTTCTCTGACTGACTTATTTCACTTAGCATAATACAGTCTAGCTCTATCCATGTCGATGTTAGTGATAGATATTCATCTTTTCGGTTGGCTTAGTAATATTCCATTGTATATATGAACATCTTTATCCACTTATCTGTTTAAGGATATCTCGGCTTTTTCCACAGTTTTTTTTTAAAGATTTTATTTATTTCACACACACACACACACACACACACACACACACACACACACACACACAGAAAGAATAAGCAGGCAGAGTGACAGGCAGAGGGAGGGAGAAGCTGGCTGCCCACTAAGCAAGGAGCCTGATGTGGGACTCAATCCCAGGACCCTGGAATCATGACTTGAGCTGAAGGCAGTCACTTAGCTGACTGAGCCACCCAGGCACCTCTCTTTCCACAGTTTAACTATTGTGGACATTGCTGCTATGAACATTGGTGTGTTAGTTCCCCTTATTTTCACTACGTCTGCATCTTTGGGGTCAATACCCGATACTGCAATTACTGGGTCATAGGGTAGCTCTATTTTTAAAATCTCGAGGAACTTCCATATACTGCTTTTCAGATTGCCTGTACCAACTTGCATTTGCAATCATGTTGTATATATGGATATGTAATATATGACAAATTTGCATTTCAATTTAATTGGAAAAGAGTAAATTGTTGATGGAAGTTGGCACAAATTGTATTCCACGTGGAAGGGAGTGAAGAGGTTCCTTATCTCACATATCTCACAAAAATCAAGAGGAATAAACTCACAGTTTAGGAGTAACCATTCCATTTTAGATACACATCTAGAAACCCACATTTAAAATCCAGAGGTGGACCGGCCACCATAATTAAGGTTGAAACCTTAGAAGTAAGATGATAGATATATTTAACTAAAGAAAATTTAAAACTATTTTATGGTTAAAAAAATACCTAACTAAAAGTCATTAGAGAAACTGATTCACAGCAATTATTTGGGATGCTGATAACTACAGATAAATAGGCATATACAATGCAAACATATAATAGTAATAGTAGGTTAATAGACATGGTGATCAAAAATAGGAATCTTCACTTGGGCTCACTAATAGTTTAAAAATTCAGCAAGAAATTTCTATCACACTCATTACTCTGGGAAAACCCTCAAAGGGCTATCACATTGATCTTGGGGTTGGAACTTTTAACAAATGGCAAAGGGATACTTTCTAATTCTGCTGTCAGAATTGTGAAGTGTTACAATATCTTGGTGTGGCTCTGAAGACAGTTACAAATATTAAAAATATAGATGCTCTTTGGGGAGCCTGGCTGGCTCATTCAGTAGATTATGGGCTCTTGATCTTGGGATTATGAATTCAAGCCCAATGATGGGTATAGAGATTACTTAAGAAAATAAAACATTTTAAAAATACAGATATTCTTTAACTCCCTCTTTCTCAATCTGCTCTATGGACATTCTGGGCTAGAAATTTCTCTGTGGTGGGCTGTGTCCTGAGCCTTTTGGTATGTTTACATCACCCCTGGCCTACATGCACCCCTCCCAGGATGACATCCCAAAATGTCTTTGTACATTGCTCAATGTTTCCTGGAGACAAAATCATCTTTGGTAGTGAAACATAGTTTTAACTATTTGAAAATTTTTGTACCATTGACATAATCATAATTTAATAAGAAAAGAAAAAAATCGGGGCACCTGGGTGGCTCAGTGGGTTAAGCCTCTGCCTTCGGCTCAGGTCATGATCTCAGGGTCCTGGGATCGAGCCCCGTGTCGGGCTCTCTGTTCAGCAGGGAGCCTGCTTCCTCCTCTCTCTCTGCCTGCCTCTCTGCCTACTTGTGGTCTTTGTCTGTCAAATAAATAAATAA